TATGCTATGCAAGTAACACCTTCAAAATTCTCAGAAGTTATAAAAAGAGAAGAGATTTGAGAAGTTTTAGGGGTTAAAAAGCAGTTATTAAATTGTCTGAATTAGAGCCAGGAATGACAAAATTCATGTGGATGAAGAGAAAGAGGTTAAAATAAAGTTTGTTTTCACCCCAGTTATTGCTCGGTCCGCTGGTGAGTTCTTTGGCAGCGCAGACCGCCCTTATCCCATTCCCGGGATAACGCAAGACATCATAGTCTTGCAAGAGCAATTGGAGAAGGGGGGAGTGTATTTAAAAGAAACCTCCTCCTACCTTGGGCGTCTTCCTTTTCTACATCCATCCCACCCACCCTCTATGCTAGTGTGAGTTTTTCTGGTCACCTTTTGGGGCTGGATAGGAATTTTTGACCTGCATCCTGATTGGCCTTTGGAAGCCCAGATTTTTCTCCTATCCCACACTGGCCGAGGTGCATGGCACTTTAGAAGTGGGCAATATGGTCACACAGGTAGTTAGTGCAGATAAAACAGGTTTCGGTGAGTCCTCTCACAACCACAGGTAAAGTATAGCTCATCTGATCTCCCAGCGCTGCGGATCGTGCGATTACAGTGCTTGGGGGAGAACATCCACTGGGACCGCTCCCAGACCAACAGTCAACAAGAAGGAGGGGACTTGAGGCCTGGGGGTGGTCAAATTTGGGCCTGCCGGGTTCTCGCTGTCTTCACGAATGAGATATCTGGTGGCTTGGGACTCACCCATAGTTTGGAAGGGGTCCGTTGAGACCCCTCTGCAGAACCTGATTCTGCACTACAGCAGGACCCCCCCCTTTTTTTTCCCATTTGAGGATAAATAAGATTACAGTGGACCCTCTATTTACGGAATTAATCCGTATTGGAACGGTGGCTGCAAGTCGAAAAGTCTGTAAGTCGAATCTCCATTGACCTACAATGCATTGAAAACTGATTAACCCCATAACTGGCCATTTTTGTTCTATTTTTGTTCCATTTTGTTTTTTTTTCTGGTCTGTAGGTCGATTCTCCAGCTGCAAGTCGAATCTAAATTTTGCAGCCAGAGAAGTCTGTAACTCGAAAAGTCTGTAAGTCGAGCCGTCTGTAAATCGAGGGTCCACTGTATTTAATAAATAACAGTTGTCTTGTGTCTTATTCCGGGGTAAGGGGATAATGACCTTCTCATCTTTTGATTTTGCTTGTAGAATCCTGTTTACTGCGCTTGTCCAAAATATATGGCACCACTATCTTTAAAATCTAGGAATAGGTGTTTCCAGACCTTTTGAAGTTGAACCTCTATGATCTATGGAGATCAGAAGCCTGGGAAACATTTTGCTGTTGAAAATATACTCAGCGGCTTCAGTCTCTGGCAAAGGTTGAGAGTTCAGTTCTCCACTGTGCCTCATCGAAAGGGGCTGGACCCAATGATTTGGGTCTCTTCCATCTCTACAGTTAAAAGGTTAGTATTATATAATTTTCCCAATTATGCAACTCATGTTGCTCTGCTTAGGCTTTAATATCTCCGGAAAAACACTGCATTTCAATAGAATGAACCTCAATTCAGCATGAAGAAAAATAATATTGACAGAGAAATTGAAGACACAATGTTTTGAGACAGAATTGTATACTTCCATTTATCATCATCATCATCAATCATGATCTTCATCAGTAGTAGTAGTACTAGTTACAAGGCAGCGTTACCTGCCTTGTTAACAGGAAAGGCACCCAAAATCAGGCAAAAAAATAACTACAATCCCTAGTCACTAAACAAACTGCAATTTGTGTTTGGTTCTTGATTTTGAAGAGAGGTTTGCAATGGGCTGATGGAAAGTGTTGTGATCCGTATTGTCATTTCTTTGCAGCATCTCTGACTGGCAGATCTAGAAAAATGAAGATTTGTGGAAATACAAGTGAAAAGCCAGGTCTTTCTTATCCGATACATTCCTTGTTGTTTTAACTTGCATTGTATGTTGCTGTTTTGAAAGATTCAATAAAAATCTTACAATTCATTCCAAGTTTCCCCAGTTAATTTAATAATATTACCGTAATGTGTGTTGGGTCAATTCTGATTTACGGCGACGCTTTTTAGGGTTTTCTAGGTAGAGAATACTCAAAGTGGTTGATCCTTCCCTTTCTAGGTAGAGAATACTCAAAAGTGGTTGACCCTTCCCTTCGTCTGGGACTATGCAACTTGTCCAAGGCCATAAATGAGAACCAAAAATGAGGGTGTAGAGCCTGCGCATGAGCAGAAACCTCTCATCTTCATACTCAGCATCATTCACATGGGAAGGGACACTCTTCTTCAACTGGGTTGACAAGGGTCCATTTTAGAATAACTGGAAGGCCCAGGTTCAAATCCCCACCAAGCCATGAAACTTACTCAAATGTGACTATAGGTCAGTCCCACTTTCAGCATCCCCACCTCACAGGATTGATCTTAATGTAAAGTGTGGAGGTGGCCTTTCCAAGGTGGTAACCACGTTAATATTCAACCACGTTTATGGGGCTCAAAGAGCGTTGCTGCCTTTTTCCTTTTTTTATCATGGGGGCCCATGGGTGGTAGAGTGGTGAAACACGACTGTCTCCTTTCTGACAAGGATTGTCCCTGTTGAATGTTGGATTGGTGTGGATGAGTGAGAACTTTGACACAGCTCACTTCTGACAAGCATTTGCCCAAATGTACCGCTTTCTCCATATCTTCATTGGTTTTCCTCACTTCTGACAAGCATTTGCCCAAATGTATTCGCTTTCTCCATATCTTCATTGGTTTTCCAATGAGCCTTTCTGAGCCAGATTCAAGCTGTTGGTATTTAACGGTTTGGGACCCCATTAACTGTCAGAAAGCCTCCCGCAAGGAACATTCCGTGCCTTTCTGAGCCAGATTCAAGGTGTTGGTATTTACAAAGCCTTCAACGGTTTGGGACCCCATTAACTGTCGGAAAGTCTCCCGCAAGGAATGTCATCCTATGCCACCCAATCCACCCAGGTCGGTCTCCTACAGAGTAGCCGTTCCAAGAAAGCAAAGAAAGTGTCAACAAGGGACTGAGCCTTCAGGGTAGTGGCCCCACATTTCTGAGCCAGATTCAAGGTGTTGGTATTTACAAAGCCTTCAACGGTTTGGGACCCCATTAACTGTCGGAAAGTCTCCCGCAAGGAATGTCATCCTATGCCACCCAATCCACCCAGGTCGGTCTCCTACAGAGTAGCCGTTCCAAGAAAGCAAAGAAAGTGTCAACAAGGGACTGAGCCTTCAGGGTAGTGGCCCCACATTTTTGGAAGAACCTTCCCATAAAAATCCATCAGTCCTCTTCCCTCCAAGACTGTAAGAAATTGCTAAAGCACTTTCTCTTTGAAGAAGTCTTCACAGAGATTCTCCCTTGCATTAACTAGTAACATGGATCATCGATTTGTGTTTGTTGTGCATCTGCATACAAATTGTTTAAATCAATCAATCAATCAATCAATCAATCAATCAATCTAAGGTAGAAATATTGGAGGTGGTTTTTTTTAACCATTAGAAGTGTGGGAAAGTCAAACTGACAGGTTTGCCCATCACTGAACCAAAGATGGCAACTGGACTCACCTGAGTGGACTCCTAGGTAAGCTGTTCAGGAATGCTAAGCCTAGAAAAAGCAAAAGTCAGGTAACCAGCTCCGAAGAAGCAAAATATGCCAAGACTGATTCTTTTGAACCCATGGGAGAAAGTTCATGATGTAATTGCTAGAAAGACGTGGGAGTGGGGTGGGCTGTTAATTCATTCTTTTACTTCTCATAATTCAAAAGGATGTAAAATTGCTACTTTTGGGTTTTTTTAAGAATTATTATAATGTGATGAAATTCTTCAGTGCATAAATTTGTAATGAAGCCATGGCCCTGTAACTATAAAAATAATTTAAAATAGTACGGTTATGCTACAGTAACCAATTGCTTCCAAGCTCTGGGCAAGGGCATTTTTCCTGATAATGACCTACATCCCATTTAAGATCTACCAAGAATACGTTCACGGATATCCATGGGACCGATGTTATTTGTGAGCTATAGGTCTTGTTTAATTCAGCAGCACTAATCCAAGTAGGCCATAAAGAAGGCTGATCGCTGAAGATGCCTTTGAATTGAGGAGACTCTTGAGAGTTCCCTGGACTGCAAGGAGAACAAACCTATCAATTCTAAAGGAAATCAACCCTGATTGCTCAACTGGAAGGACAGAACCTGAAGCTGAGGCTCCAATACTTTGGCCATCTCATGAGAAGAGGAGACTCCCTGGAAAAGACCCTGATGTTGGGAAAGAGTGAAGGCAAGAGGAGAAGGGGACGACAGAGGACGAGATGGCTGGACAGTGTCATCGAAGTGACCAACATGAATTTGACCCAACTCTGGGAGGCAGTGGAAGACAGGAGGGCCTGGCGTGCTCTGGTCCATGGGGTCACAAAGAGTCGGACACAACTTAACGACTAAACAACAACAATCCAAGCAGGATGAACATTGGCTACAGCTCAATGCCTACAAAACCAAACATTTCAAACTAAAGAACTCCTTCTGCTATGTGCTTTATATCACCATTTAGAATAGGATCTGTTAGAATAAGAAAGCAAATGCAAACAGCTGAGATGTGCATGGAAAAAAAACATTATAGTACACTCACCTCTACTGGTGAAGTTTCAGAAGACTGAAAGAGGAAAGAGAAGAATTATCTCTATGTTGGCATAACTTTAAGTTACTTTTCCTGATAAGAGGATTTGTTATAACTATTTCCCAGTGTGCAAACTAGCGTATCTTTTAATTAGCACATGTTTAGGTACTCCCCAAGTGGTGAAAGTTGTTAATTTGAAATAGTACATGCTTTCCTTCACCTCCACACCTTGCATTTCACCTGCTTTGATTTCCAATTGGGCATCGAAAGCAGGAGCTTAGTTGTGAAGTCTAATCACTGTGGTGTGCGTGCCTGAAATAACCAATCACAAGGATTCCCTTTAATGTGTGATCTGATCCATACTTTCAGGTTTTCCCCAGCAAAACTAAGAAATAGCTGTGAAAAGATATCGAAAAAAGCTCACATTTCCAGGTTCAAGTTCAGGTGATATCTGAGGAGGCTATAACAGAAAAACGAAAGAACACAGTTGTCAGGACAATACAAAACAAACGCACGTTTGCATGAAAGTAATAGTCACTGGGGATTCATCTGACGGATATTTTTGGAAGAGAAATCAAGAAAAACACATATGTTGGGAATTTCCAGGGGGGGTGCTATATATTTTGTAGTAAAAACAGCAAACAGCCTGTTAAAGAATAATATATTTATATATATATAAAATTTGAGGGTGCATTGACTACAGACTTTCCAGTGCCCAGGATAAAGTCATTTTCGTATGTATTCCCAAAGGCTATATTCTCAACAAAAAAGAAGAAAGTCTGAAACTGAACAAGGCCTGGCTTCCAGCACTGGAAAATACAGCCTGAAGAAGGTCAACGAACTCTACCCAGCCACAAGGACCAGGGACCATTGCACCAAAAAAAGACCAGCTAAAGACACCCATCAACCACAGTGACAGATAATCTCTCCCACTTATCACAACAATACATCCATAACAAAAACCATGCTGATCACCCTATCTCCTGAAAAGGACAAAAGCTGTTCCCACAGCTATAAATACTCAACTATCCAACAAACAGCAACAGAGCATGGACAGAGTTCCTACTCCACTCCTCTGAAGATGCCGGCCACAGAGACTGGCAAAACGTCAGGAAGAACAACCTTCAGAACACGGCCAAAGAGCCCAAAAAATCCACAACAACCATCATCTTCATATGTTAGGAAAATAGTTTTCATATTTTATAAGAAAACACTCAAAATCTTTTTGTTACGGAAGGAATACTTATGGGACTTTATGGATATGTCTCTGATGAGTACAAGAGAAGCATGAAGGACCACTCATATATCAAGATAGTCAAAAACCCTGGAAGTTTCTTTGTGTGAAAGAAATACTTACTGGTGGTTCAGTTTCTGAATATCCCTCAGAAGGCTAAGGGAGAAAAGGCAGGAAATTAATATTTTAGAAGTCTACAGGAGGGTCCAAGCCCTGGTCAGCTGTTCTTATTCAGTTTAGCATCAACATGTTTTCAGGGAAGAGTAAGAAAGTGCCTCCCATTGCTCCAGTTGTAGGCAGATTTTTTTAAACCGCAAAGAGATTTTCCACTTGCCTTGATGGCTCATCTGATTTGATTGTCTAGTTTTAAATCTTATGAGGATCCCGCACAACTTGAGTAGCTTCCTCACTTTGAAATGTCATCTGTGGGTCCTAGTTAAATGTAAAGGTTCCCCTTGACATTTTCAGTCCAGTCGTGTCCTACTCTAGGGGGCGGCGCTCATCCTGTTTTCAAGCCGTAGAGACAGCGCTTGTCCGAAGACAGTTTCCATTGTCACGTGGCCAGCGTGACGAGGGAACACCGTTTTACCTTCCCACTGAGGTGGTACCCATTTATCTACTTGCATTTACATGCTTTCGAACTGCTAGGTTGGCGAGGAGCTGGGACAAGCGACGGGAACTCACTCCGTCATGTGGATTCGATGTTTTGACTGCTGGTCTTCTGACCCTGCAGCACAGGCGTCTGCGGTTTAGCCCGCAGCGCCACCAGAAACATGGTCCCTCAGTTGGTGGGAAACCCTCTGCAATGGTTCTTGGTTATGGTCAGAAACAGGCACTTGACATATTATTCATTCATTCATTCATTTATCGTCCAGAATTACAGCTGGCGTGGATTTGATCTTACGACTGCTGGTCTTCTGACCCTGCAGCACAGGCTTCTGCGGTTTAGCCCGCAGCGCCACCAGAAACATGGTCCCTCAGCTGGTGGGAAACCCTCTGCAATGGATCTTGGCTATGGTCAGAAACAGGCACTTGACATATTATTCATTCATTCATTTATAGTCCAGAATTAGAGCTGAAAGCATGTTAATGTTGGAGAGAGGTGACTGAGGCAATGCTTCTGTTTCTCTGAAATAAACCACCAATTAAACAGAGTAATTAAATCCTGATGGCCAATACCAAACAAGGCAAACTGATTGTCATAATAATGTCATAATAATGGCAGAAGGCATGACAATCAGCTGCTCATGTTCATTAAGACTTCCACTTTCCCAGTCATCAGCTATCTGCAGTGCCTCTTTCTGCCCTTTGTCTCCTGCAATGCAACATGCTTTGTTTTGTGACAGGCTCATCTGAAGGTGGACACGGGCTTAATTTGCAGGTCTGAAGGTTGAGACACAACTCGTTGAGGAAACCCTATTGGGAGATGGATAGCAGAAAACACAATTTCTTTTGATGTCCACTTTGAGCGACCCGTGACGACTGAAAAGGAGGTTGCCAAAGAGGAATTAGAGAATTTAACCTAGGCTTCCCCCTTTTCTGTGTTGATTCAACAAGGAGGAAAGAAGAATAACACCATTTAGGAAGACGGGCTTAGGAAAGTGCAGAAATGTGTTTGCAGGAAGTGTATACTTACAGGAGTGACAAATTCTGGAGAGGGCTAAAAGGAAAGGAAAAGGCCAGAATTATCTTTCAAAGTAAAGCAGAAAAGGCAGGTTCGTTTTGAAGGAGATGAATACTCACCCATTCTGGCTGTTCTGAAAAATCCTTTTAAAAAAAGAATTAGGAAAAGTTCATGTATCAAAATTATACAAAAGTTAACTTAAAAATAGAAAACAGTGACATATTCTGGATATTCTAAAACAGCAGTCCCCAACTGTTTTGGGACCGCGGACCGGCTGAGCCTCTGAAGAAGGCAGGGCACCCCCTGCACTCAGGCGCGTGCTCTCGGGTGCATGCACGAAGCAGTGGGGGAACATGTGCCCACCCACCAGCGCCAGCATGAGCACTCCCCCACCCCTTCATGCATGCACAGGAGTACCTGCACACCCGTCCACGCACCCACCCCTTTGCGCGGGTGCTCGGGCGCTCAGGCACATGCGTGAAGGGGTGGGGGAGCGCTTATGCTGGTGCTGGCACATGCATGTGTGCGCAAAGCAGCTGTGGGGAGGGGATTGCTTGGGAGGCAGGAGGTCTGTCTTCACGGCCCAGTCCGGCTCAGGCCACGGACTGGTACCGGGCCGTGGACCAGGGGTTGACAACCTCTGCTCTAAAAGTTCCAGAGGTGTGTTTTATTTTAGAATTATACAAATGCAGGACATCATTGTTTTATGGTGTGTTTTTAAACTGGTTTAACACTGTTTTGGAATTGCTAGTCCTCTAAATACTGTAATGGCTGAAATCCTGTTGCCTAGTATAGTAAGTCACATGCATGATAACATGTCTTTCTGAAACTTAGCAACTTAGCAATAAATACATGAAAAGTCACAAGTAGGCAAACTAAATCAGTCACTCACCATATCATTGACGGGATCAGGACCAAAGAAAGGAGGAGCAAAGCCAGGATCCATCTTCAGAAAGAGAACAAAATCCTATTAGATCCACTTGCAAATAATCATCGTCATCTTAGAACTGCCGAACTGGAGGGGACCCTATGTATCATCAAGTTCAGCCCCCGTCAAGGGGGCAAAATGGGAAATCGAACTCCCAACCTCTATCTCTGCAGCCAGATGCCTAAACCACTGGATTTAGGCATCTGGCTGCAGAGCCAGAGGTTAGGAGTTGGATGCTATATGCCTGCACTGCCTTCTTAACTAGAGGCAGCTCACTAACACAACTTATGCTGACTGCATTATACCAGCATAAAAAATGAACAGGACCTTGGTCAACGATCCTTTTATTTTCCATAAAAAGGAAACATCACTAAGGCCATGAGTGGTGTGTGTGTGTGTTTAAGGTAAAGATAAAGATTCTCCTGGACATTGAGTCCAGTCGTGTCTGACTCTAGGGTGTGGTGC